AGGTGGGATGTGGCATGAAAAGAAAATAGTCAAAGTGTAGGTACCTCAATATTATATTATATTATATTATATTATATTATATTATATTATATGCATACATCATATGATCTTAATTCCACTACAGAGGAGACTTGATGATCATGAAAATTAGGTGAGGAAAAAAGTGGATGTATCAATATCAGCATTGGTTATTGGCCAAATAACTTGTTATATATTGGCATAACGGCAAAAAATGTAATGCTGTGCATCCCTTATTATATAATATGTAAGTATAATATTTGAATAATATGGGCTACACCAATGAGTTTAGGCAGGATTAAGTGATGTCCCATGGTGATTTAATATAGAATAGTACATGAGATCTTACCAAAACACACTTCTCATCACTAAATATTGGGTGAACTTTCTGAATCAGTATCCTGCAGATACTTTGAAGTAATATCTCAAGACAGATTCTGCTATTTACATTGTAGAGGAAAAGAAAAAAGGAAGATGGATTTTTATCGATGGATTTCCAGATTGACTTTGAAGTGATATGAAAGTTCTTTACTTTGAAAGTCGTGACCGGAAGTCTTTGTGTGTTGTGTGCAATACGCCGCATTTGACTCTGGCTCAGTAGGTCGGAGCTGTGTGACTTTGTGATACTGCCTCCCGCACCACCAAACCTTATCAAACAACAAAAAAAAACATCGTCGATCATCAGCAAGGACCGATCTGAGGACAAGGACGCTGTCCACGTCTTACAATAGCAGCTCAGCGGACAGGTAAGCTGTCAGCACACTGAAATTACACAACTACTGAGAAACATCTGGAGAGAGGCGCGGAAATGAAAGTACGACATGCTGTAGAAAGCAAAGATTTTGGTAGAAAGCTGTTGCGATATGTTCTGTTAACAACAAATGTTACAAATCCCAGTTCAGTGAAGGCTACATGATGTGTGGGGAAGTAGTACCTGTACCAGGCAGGCGCAATTGACAACATACCTGTCCTGTGGGCGCTTTTCCTTCCTATCATGACGAAGGCATGACCCGCCCGCCCCGCTTTGCCTTACCTGCCTCTGATTGGCTTACTCTGATATTGTTACTCGAGACAATCTGAGGCTTTTTGGCCCTTCCTCCAATGGCTCTGTGTGCTTTGACCAAAAAATATCTGGAAGTCAATTACAATTATTTTTAGAATTTTTATTTTTGTTTATTATTGTTAAAGGTTGAATGGGATTCTTACATTTTCCCGTTGTAAAAATGTGCAGCCTACACACTCAGTAAAAACATGTTTTTACATTTCGTTAGCTGAAATGTGTTTCATATGTCAACATTTTTTTCCCAATTTTTCCTAATTTTTTGTGAATCTAGCCTAAATGGCAGGGCTAATTTTGAGTCTCCCTAGCAAGGCTAGTTGCGGATTCCAAATACAAAACTATAAAGTCTTGGAGGAAAATTAAGAATGTAATAGTGCTTTAACAGATTTGTTAACTTTCACCACCAAAGCTGCAATGTTAAAAGTACCAAGTAATCACAAATAGCTCACTGGAGTGTAACAAATTTGTGGTAAAACATATTAATGATTGCTCATTTAAAACTATTAGTAATGATGATAGGCTAAAGAATTATGGCTAATTCAGACTTAATAGACTGTGTTTCCTTTATTATAAGAAACAAATATGTATTGGGATTCCAGACAGATTTAAAAAATAAAGGTTCTTTTGATATTAAACATTGCTGACCCCTGCTCTAATGTGTATATAGACTCTTTACCCTAAACCAGGGTTCAGCAGCCTTAAAAGGTAGCTAGGTAGCGTGACTAATGGTAACAACAATTTTTGAAACTGGACTGGTTCTGTATTGACCGTGGCTGTTGCAGCTGCAAAACAGGCTACAGTGTCACCACTTGGGGCAATTGAGCACTGTCAATTTAAGTTAAACTATTTCTTTTTGCCACTGAAAGTCTCAGATTGTAATTTAAGTGTCTGACAACATTATGGAACAGATCCCTACAGAGACAGACCTTTTAGCAAGAGAGTAAGATCCTATTTGATTGACCAGAAACAGCCCAAAAATCGCTAACGCCTAACCCACCAGACAGCAATTTTAGCGTAGAGCCTGTGTATTTTCACATCCAACTGGGTAAATCAAGGGTTTATTTCAACCAGACCAGAGTTGGTGATTGTTGGAACAGTGAAAAAGACACACCAAGATGGCTTTTATGAGTTTTATTTTGATTCTGTCGACTTTGAATGTAGCGTATTTTACAATGATAAGATTACAGTTTTTTGAAATGGAGTTTGTTTGGTTTGACGATAGCAATTTTGGGGATGTTTCTGGTTAAACAAAAAGGATGTTACTCTTTAACAAAAAGGTCAATTTCTGTAGTGATTCTTTCCATGATGCTGTCATACACTTAGTTTAATATTTTGAGCCTGTTAGTGACCAAAATTAGCACTTTTAGTGGATGTAAATTGAGCATGCACAATTGCCTCAAGTGACTACATTGCAGCCTGTTTCGCTGCTTTCAAAACTTACTGTTCCTATTTGGCACTTACACACAAAAACATGGGAAAATAGGGTCCAGGTTAAAAAAATACAAAAGTTACTCTTTAACCATTTTTGACCAAAAAGCAATCAAAAGAAATTCTTTCTGGAGCCTCTAAATATAGTTGAGCCTTATAATGACCATTACACAGCCTGTTAAGTCTAAATTTACATTTTAAAATTCTTAATAGGTCTAAATGAGCATTCATTAATATGTTTTAACACACGGTGGCTACTCTGCAGTGGACTATTTGTGATTACTTGGTACTTAAACTTTGCAGAATTGGTGGTGAAAGCAAACAAATCTGTCCACACATCACAAAATTATTAATGTCCTCTGAGACATTTCCTGATTTGGATTTTTAATCTATAGCTAACCTAGTGAGGGAGACTCAAGACTAGACACACCTATGAGGTTCTTCAAAATTTAGAGGAAAAGACACCAGACCATAGACTTATGGCACACATTTTAGTTGATGAAATGTTAAAACATTGTTTGAGGATTTTATGGGCCATTTTGCCTTTATTGGATAAGATAATCTAAGTGTGAAAAGGGGGAGAGAGAGAGAGGCGATGACATGGAAGCAAGGGGCCACAGGCTTTAATTGAACCCACGGCCACTGCGGCAAGGACATTGCCTTTGCATATGGGATGCTTGCTCTACCCACAAAGCCACTGGGCACCCATAAGACATTTCTCTTGTTCTATGTATAGGCTACACATTTTTACAATTGGAGAATACAAGAATCACTTGAGGCCTACAACAATGATTAAGAAAATTAAAATGTTAAAAAAAATAACCATATTCTTACCATTTTCATATCTTTTTTTTTCTTTTTGTCCATGCCACAGGATGCCACTGGAGAGTGGTAAAGAGGCGCATGTTGTTCCGGAGCTACAGGTTGCCTACCCCTGCCCTAAACCCTAACCCAGTGGTTCCCAACCATTTTCCTTAAGTGACCCCTTTGTAAACTGATGCCCCCAGACTGAGTGACATATTTTATGAATATTTCTTATTATATTTAACACATAGAGTGCCGAAGTCACGCCCCTTCCGGTAGAGCTCATGGGACCTTAGATCGGAAAAAATATGAATGGCAGTGAATGGGGAGAGCAATATTATCTTTTGTTCCCGTTTGAGTTGCGACATGAAATCTAAATATGTTGTTAATGAATTTAAAAGATAAATTTTAGGCTCAAGAAAGTCATACTTTGTGGTAAAACTGTTGAGATATGAGCTTTTTAATTAGAAGACTCAAGAGTACACAGGAGGAGGTCACGTATGTGACGTCATAGCTTTCGCTCACTTCCTGCAGCTTGGCCTCCCCGCTAAAACAGTGGAATTTCAGCGGGGAGGCCAAGCTGCTTCCTGCAGCTTGGCCTCCCCGCTGAAATTCCACTGTTTTATGATTAATCGATTTATGATTGAAGATGTCTATGTGATATGTGCCAGGTTGCAGTCACTCCAAGCTGCAGGAAGCGAGCGAAAGCTATGACGTCACATACGCTACCGCCTCCTGTGTAGTTTTTCTAATTACGTTTTTTTTTTTCTTCAAAAGCTTATATCTCAACAATTTTACCACAAAGTATGACTTTCTTGACCTTAAAATTTATGTTTTAAATTCAATAACGACATATTTGGATTTCATGTCACAACTCAAACAGGACCAAAAGATAATATTTCTCTCCTCATTCACTGCCATTCATATTTTTTCCGATCTAAATCCCATGAGCTTCACCGGAAGGGGCGTGACTTAGGCACTCTATAACAGTAACAGAACAGAACAACTGATTGACTGTACATTACCCAAAATAGTGAACAAAATACTGCAGGGAGTTTGTGTTAAATGAGCTTTTTGGATGAATTTTGAGTAAAATCTTACATGTGAAGGTTGCATCAGAGATGAGTTTTCCTGACATTTCTTAGAAACTTCTTACATGATTGTCAGTCTGTATGATTTTTCACATCAGCGGCGTATCAAGGGACTATATTCAACTTATCTTGCATTGTAGCATGCATTATGACAACTTAATAAGGTTTATGTACGTTTTTAAATGAAGTGGAGGAGCCTACAAGTGTTTTGTTTAGTTTGTCTCAGAGGTTCCGCGGACTGCGGGCTCCGCTCAACTGTCTTCTGCTGCTGCAAGAGAAGTGTCCTTCTGCTTCTTCTTCTTGTGTAACCTTGTGTGTATTGGCGGTTAATACAGCATTATCGCCACCTAGTGGACTGGAAGCACATTACACCTATAATAGGCTTTTATTGGGAAAAATAGCTCAAATGCGACCCCCAGTGGTAAAATTAGGTATATAATTCGATATACCGGTTCGGTTAGATATTTGGCTTTAAATCAAACCGGTTGGAAAATTTTCAAACTGGCACAAGCCTATAACCATGCGCCGCTTTTGCTTCTTGGCATTCAAGCGAAGACGTGCAAACCACCTCTGCAGGTGCTGCATGTGCAGTAGTCCCAACTGCACCACTTTAACTTTACTATTCATTTTATCTGTGATGTTGCAAACATGGAAACAGAATGGAAACAGCTCATCCCTACAACTCAATCTGGGTGAAAATGTGTGTAAATTAAGTTTTTGGGATAGCGGCCACATTGGAAGCATGCAAATTAGAGAGCATAAATAAGATATAATATTATTTAAAAATAAATCATATATCTGAGTATTCCATTGTGTTTCTAATGCTTAAAAATATGAAACAGACACTGAGTTTGCCAAAAGAGTTTAAAAAAAACTTATTGTAGATGGCTGCCATCTTGGAAATATGCAAATTAGGGGTCCAGATGCATCCAGTCATAAAAATAAGTATTCCAATATGTTTCTCGTGGTCAAAAAACATGTAACACACACCAAGCTTGCATTTGTAGCTCATCTGGTTCAAAAGTTACAGCCAAAACTGTTTTGAAGTCACAGACATATGTGATTTTGCCACCATGGTCATCACCAGAATGCCAATCTGTGATGTCTCGATATCCAGGTGTCTTCTACATAAGTTCCAAATTTAGTGCTTTTATTACAAACTGAATCATTGTCTTGATTTTGCAAGCTATGCCGCCCTACTATCAGTGTTCATTGTTCAGGAGGTTTTTAACATGAGGTGAATTATACACAGTAAATAAAGCAGTTTGGCATCACAAATCTGTGTTTTTCTGACACTTTTGTCACAGAGGGACTGCTTAAGTCATGTGATTATGCACAAAAGAAAGCATATTTATGATATTATATACCATTTCTGCCAAAATATCTCCCCAAATCCTACACATTGGACCTTTAAGCAGAACTAATTAATTTAATTTTTGTCACAAAAATGAATGACTGTGTCCATTTAAGTTTTGTAGTTGAGTAGTAACTGATGTCTTCTTTGTGTCTCTTCAGGTATGGGGGCTGTTCCCAGCAGGTGTGATGGTGTCACTGGGGGGATGGGGTCTCAGTACAGTGTGAGCGACCAGGACAGGGACAACCAGCCTATACTTAAGAAGGATGACAGCAGGAGACACAGCTCTGGAGAGACGGTGCACTGTCCCACATGCCAGGGTACTGGACGTATACCTAGAGGTAACACACACACACACACACACACACACACACACTCACACTGTGGCCTGACGAGGCACCATCTTGGGGTCCGACATCTAGTTAAAAGTTAACTATATGGGTAGCACTTAGTTTATGTTACTGTATGAAAATGTATTTTGACATTGTAAATTGTGGTGTGCATTGCATATCTTGGTCACATTTTTTTAATAACCAAATTCAAGGAATGCTTAAACGTTTGCTCATGTTATGGATTTATGTTAAAAATGACTGACTAAATCTTATTATCTGGTTTGTTTGTTTGTTTGTTTTTTCAAATGGCAGCATTGCTTCCAGTCTCAGTATACAGTATTGGTCAGGATCAAGTGTTAACACAAATGTAACAGTGATGCTTTTGAGAACATTGGCTTCCTTTGTTAATAGAACAAAGTAAGATATTGTTATTGTCATGGTTTTTTGTTGACACTAGCACTGAAAAATACCCGACCAGAAGCCTGATTTGGGGTTAGCAAAGTAACTTCAGGGCCAGCCAAAACAGAGGTCAGTCTGGTGGAACAGGTTGCTGAGTTAGCAAACATTGCGACTGCCAGTGGTGGGGATAACATTACAGGGCAAAGTACTGGCTGGTAGTGGCAGAGACCATGGGGGAAAAACAGCATATTTTCACATCTAACATGGTGAATCAGGGGTTAGTTAGCGCCTCACACATATACCCTTAATACCATTTACCCTGGTGAAATTTCAGGAAAGTCTAAATAAAATAGATACCACCCAAACCTACTTCTCACAATATCACATCTGCTCCTACATTACCATCCTTGATATGAATCCATGTTTCATGTGTTTTTCAGGTCAGGAGAGCAAGCTGGTGGCTGTCATCCCCTGTAATGACCAGAGGCTGAGACCCAGACACACGTAAGAACTAAATATTCAGCACTGTGGTAATGCCAGGAAAGCCTGGAATGGACTCACTGTTATGATAGGTAGGGAGGGTGAAAAACAAGATGTCCCACCACAATAAGGTGTAGCTTTAGAGCTATTGCTGTAGTTTCAGTGATAGTAATAACTTTGACATATTCACTAACACCAGTATTGTAACTATAATTGTACAGACAGTGGCAGAAGTAGCAGCCAACCTAGCTGGAATCCAACCTAGTAAAGCACCTGGACCTGATGGATTAAAGGATAGGGTGATTAAATTTTGTAGGTTTCAGCTTACAGTCACTTTTAGGAAATTGCTCCAGTAGGGATGCATGATAATATCGGCACATCATCCGTATCGGCCAATATCGGCTTTAAAATGAACTATTAGAACCGGCCAACATGCTTTCTCTTAATTTGCACAATGAATGAATATTACATGATGAAAGGATGTTTTGCTGCCTTTTGCAGCAGCTGTAGACTGAGAAAAAAATAAGTCAATTCACTGGGCTGACTGCCGGCGACTTGTAATGCTACTCAATGCATGAACTGACAACATGAATCTGTCAACACTCCTTAAATTTCACCATTAGAAGTCTGACCATTCCGTCAGATTTATTGTCTCTCTTGGATGACACTTTTAGTAATGAGTGGATCTTCAAACGTTTAGAAATATATACTAATTTTGACAGGATTCTGTGAACTGCATATATTCTTATCCTCACTTGGAGGAGCATTATTTCTCTGGGCTCTGGCAACACTAAACCCCTGTGCTTGCCTAAGAAAGACTAAATGCACAAACCTGCTATTTTTGGATATCCCATGGAGAGAGACTCTCACTGCAGCCTGTTGTATTTTGTTCGGAAAATGTCAGCATACAGCCCCGTTCTGTGCAGACTTCCATCTTTGTCACCGGTGATAAAGAAATACTGCGAGAGCTGGACAGAGTAGTGAGTGACAACAACCCTGCCCACATTTAAGAGCACTGTTTGCGGTAGAAAAACTAAATGGACCCAGGGTCTTGGTACCATGCCTGAAGGGTTACTTTTGGTTCCAAAAGTACTAAACCAAAAGTGTTTGGTGGAAACACGTTTATGTTTTGGGGATGTCCATCCATCCCATTCTCATGAATGTGAGATCTCAAGAATACCTTGAGGGAATTTCTTTAAATTTGGCACAAATGTCCACTTTGAGTCGAGGATAAACTCATTAGAATTTGGTGGTCAAAGGTCAAGGTCACTGTGACATTGTGTCCGCCTCATTCTCGTGAATGAGATATCTCAAAAAGATTTTGAAGGAATTTCCTTAAACTTTGGCACAAATGTCCACTTTGAGTCAAGAATGAACTGATTATAATTTGGTGGTCAAAGGTCACTGTGACCTTACAAAACATGTTTTTGGCTATAACTCAAGAATTCATATGCTAGTTATGACAACATTTCACACAATTATGCATTTTATATCCAAAAGGTCAAAGGTCAACCTCGCTGTGACATCATAATATTCTGCAAAAACACTTTTCTGGCCATAACTTAATGTCTCAGGAAAAGAAGGGGAGACATTTAGTCAATTACTGAGTTGGTGACACTAATCTTGGGTGTCAATCTTGAAACTGTGCTGATTTTATGGATCTTCTTTGCTACCAACGGTAATATGTTCCTGAAGACTCCATGTTTTTACAGACATGAATGTAAACTGTAACTGCGGTGAGATGGGTTCACAGAGGTGTTTCCTTTTCTATCAGGAAGCTGTACGTTGCTGTGTCTGTTGGTGTGTGCCTCCTGGTCAGCGCCTTGGTTTTGTTCTTCCTGTTTCCTCGCTCTGTCCTCCTGTCTCCAGTAGCTGTCAAGTCATCCTTTGTTTACTTCACTGAAGATGACGTCCAAATTAACATCACGGTGGGTAGAGAGAGAGTGAAAGAGAAGAGTGAAGGGTGTAATGGATGAAGAAAGAAAAGTGAATGGTGTGGATGGAAGGACTGATGGATGGGATTTATTTTGTTATTTCTCATAATAATGCAATTTACTCTCATTGTAGGGCGGTGTATTATGTGTTATTAAATGATAACTGTGTTTTCTTGTAGAATGTCCTAAACATCACCAACAACAACTTTGCCGTGGTGCAGGCCTACAATCTGACAGTGCAGGCCCTGAACTTCGACATGGTGGTGGGAACAGTTTCTATTAAGAACGTCACCTCTGTCCAACCTCTGTCTGTCATAATGGTGAGACATCCCATCCTCACAGGAACAGAAGGGGATACAGTGTACTGTATCTTAGCGAAAAGGATGATTAAGAATAGTTTCAGTTGTTAATATCAGTTATACAAAAACTGTAAAATGAGCATGGAAATGGTGGGAGAAAGTGAAAACTCTCTTTCCTCATTACCACCACTTAGGTGCCCTTGAGCAAGGCACTTAATCTCCAACTACTCCAATGAAGCTGCTCAGTTGCCATCAGACCAGACTGGTTTTAGTGGGCAGATTCCAGGTGTGAACATACAACTGATCTGTATAAATGTGGAAAGGGAACTCCTAAAAAACAGAGCCTGGCTTTCAGCGAAGTCTCCAAGATTAACTTAAGGATAAGACACCAAATCGGATTAATCCATGGCTGGAAATAGTATTTTTCGAAAAATGAAACTCTATTGACATGCACTGTTTTTAAAAACAGGATCGTCAGCAGGAACCAAATGGCTTAAAGGCTGAGAGCCACACACAGGGTCCAGAACTCAGGAAGTATTTAAAGACTGAGGTGAAAAACCTCTGGTCAATGTTCACATACCAAAAATAAACTTAATGAGCATCTGTTGTCCTTCCTTGAATACATCAGTGTTTCCCATAGATTGATTTATTTGTGGCGGCTTACCACAATATCAATACTGACGGCTGCTCAGCCCCTCGTTGCCCCGCTCTGTTCATCAGACCACAAATGAGACAAGAATTAGCTAGCTGGTGTACCCAGCAAACCCTCCGCTAGGAGATTAGTTTGCTGGGAGGAAAGGAGTACACAGATCTAATGAAAGACCTTCAGTTGGCAGCTGTAGCAGCTTGAATTCAGCCAGCAGGCTGTTTGTCTGTGGCAACGCTGGCTCTAACCTGTGTAACAGCAGCAACAGAAAGTTTGCTGATTTGGTGGGGAGTTGGGGCCGGGATCATATTCTTGCTGCTGGGGTTTGAGCAGGCTGAATTGGAGTTGCTATTGTCGCTAACTAAAGGTTCGATGATTTTGTTTTGTTTTGTTTTGGTTTTTTAATGCCTCCGTGCCAGCAAAAGCTGTTATGTTATTGGGTTGCCCCATTCTTGTGAACACCATATTTTTATTTCATTTAACCTTTATTTACCTTGAGGGAATTTCCCAAATTTGGCACAAATGTTCGCTTGAAGCTATGAACTGATCAGATTTTGGTGTTTAAAGGTAAAGGTCACTGTGAGCTCACAACCTTCTCATTTTCGTGAATGTGACATCTCAGAAACACCTAGAAGGAATTTATATTTGGCACAAACATCTGCTTGAACTTAAGGGTGAACTGATTACAGTTTGGAGGTTGAAGGTTACTGTGACCTCAAAACATGTTTTTGGTTATAATTCAAGAACAAGTACACAGGTCAAAGCAGTTTAAATTGGGCACCTTGAATGAGATTTGCCAATGGGTTGCATAGAAAGGAATCATGATCTATCAGCTGACTCCCCTTCATCAATCAGCTTGAGATCAGCTGATGTAGCTGGGATGTGAGCTGAGCTTGACATTGGGTGTTTCTCAAAGTCAAGGATATCTCCCAGTTAAGGATGTTGGCACTCTCTGATGTTTTTGTACAATTTGTACAAACAAATGTAGCAGTATTTTCAGAGTCTCGTGACTTTTAGGGAGAATATATTTCTGGATCATATTTAAGAGTAAGTGGAGTAATGAGGTAAAGAAAGCAGCTGAAAAATAGTTCTCAATTCAATTCAATCAATTCAATCAATTTTATTTATAAAGCCCAATATCACAAATCACAATTTGCCTCACAGGGCTTTACAGCATACGACATCCCTCTGTCCTTATGACCCTCGCAGCGGATAAGGAAAAACTCCCCAAAAAACCCCTTTAACGGGGAAAAAAACGGTAGAAACCTCAGGAAGAGCAACTGAGGAGGGATCCCTCTTCCAGGACAGACAGACGTGCAATCGATGTCGTACAGAACAGATCAGCATAATAAATTAACAGTAATCCGCATGACACAATGAGACAGAGACAGAGAGAGAGACAGAGAGAGAGATGCAGGTAATGACAGTAGCTTACAACAACATTATTGAAAGTAATAATATTATAGTTATAGTTCTGGCTACTGTGGTACAATATGTTGAAAGTATGTATTAATATCTGGAAGTATACATGTGTGACAATAGTCATATGTGTATAATAACAGTAGAAGTATGACTAATGACTAATGATGGCAGCAGCAGCAGGAGGCATCTGGCAGGACCACGGCAGCAGCACAACCACACACGTCACGCTATTCAGGCACCGCTGCGATATGAGTTAATCTGAGAGACAGTGGAGCACAAAGGCTCCGGAGAAGAAGCCGAGTTAGTGACATCCAGAATGCGACATCCCTCTATCCTTATGACCCTCGCAGTGGATAAGGAAAAACTCCCCAAAAAAAACCCTTTAACGGGGAAAAAAAACGGTAGAAACCTCAGGAAGAGCAACTGAGGAGGGATCCCTCTTCCAGGACAGACAGACGTGCAATAAATGTCGTACAGAACAGATCAGTATAATAAATTAACAGTAATCCGCATACATTCTAAATTATCATTAACAGTATATACACAGACTCACACACAGAATCACTTCAAAGTGATCCACATTTTATGTGTGTGTCACCACACACTCCACTGTAGTAATATGAACAGATCTGATCTGATGACACAGCTGACTGCGCCATTTCACATTATACTGCCGGGTAATCCTAATGTTTTTACTGTGGCTGTTCTCGCAGTGATTTCCCCAAAAGACACACCAATTGACACCAAAAGAATTAGAGCAATTATCATGTCATTATCACATGAACAGTCGAAGGAGGAGGGAAGGTGGACACAGCACTCAATCTCTGCTGTAAATTATTCATTTATAAACATTTATGTTTTATCTAAATCAACGTTATTTTGAAAATCTTATTCTTCAGCAATGGACACATTGGAAAGAGGTTTCTGTATGATAAAAACTCCTAGAGCCATTAATCCAGATAAAAGACATATTTGTCTAAATCCTGCCAAGCTCTGCTGGTGCAGGTTTCATTGCAGAGGCCCCGCCTCACTTCCAGTAAATCCTGTGCAAAGCATTCTGGGGATTTTATACCTGCGGAGGATCCACACCAACGGCGCCAGAAGCGGGGGGGCAGGCGCGCAGGATTCATTTCAGAAGTGAGGGGGGCCAAAAAGTGCTGTGCATCTGCGGCTTGTCACCGTGTGGGCGTGGCTACCTGTGTAATGTCCAGTTAATAATAGGGACTAGTTACAGGTGCGTAGTGATCAGGGATTAAAGTACAGCCTGAGTTGAGTGTGAGCTTGCGCAACAGCGGCAACTTATTAACTGGACATTACACAGGTAGCCACACCCACACGGTGACAAGCCCCAGATGCACAGCACTTTTTGGCCCCCCCACTTCTGAAACGAATCCGGCGCGCCTGATCCACACATGCATCCTTGGAACTTCTCTGAAAGAAGGACTCAGTCCTTCGTGAAACTCGGAAGGATCCTTGACATTGGAACAGTCCTTCGGCGGGGGTCTATGATGTAGCATCCTTCAAATTCGGCCATTTGAGGATCCTGCCTTGACATTGAGAAACACCCATTGTGTCCTGCCTAAACTATTCTTATGCTCAATTAAAATGCAACTTTTGTGCAGTTTGAATAGTTTTGTCAATGATCTTCTTCTGCCTCTTGACTTCCTTCCAGTATTCCTTTGTGATCCCCATCAAACTGACAGACCCTGATCTGAGGTGAGCTGCCAGTCTTACTGTAACTTTCTAATAGCACAATTCTGTCAGTTATTAACAGCTCTTGAAATGGTAGCAAATTGCAGTTTTGTTGTTCCAACTCTAAAATGTAGCATTCACAAAAATGCTGTGTTTTTACCTCTGATAAACTCCATGGGAGGTGATAAATTGGTCACGGTGTTGGCAGTTAACTTTGTTTTTATCAAAGCATAGATAATCACTCAGCCTGTCCACCGAAGGTATATTTGCTCTGAAAGTACAAGTGAGTTTAGAAGAGATTATTTTTCTTCATTTCAAAGTAAAAAAAAACAAACTAAATTCATTGTTGATTTATTCATTAAGACTCAGTGTGCTCTAACAGTTAAAGACAGGACTCCTAGCTGTGCTCAAGCTAAAGAAGTGTGCAAATTATCATTCAGATTAAAAAAGTTGTAAAACATCAAAGAAAAGGTTTGCATTTAAATAGTGGTGGTCATCCAACTGTATTCCAGAGCTTCTCAGCTCTGTGCACACTATGGGATAGAGCTGTTGGTTTTGAATTACACGTGTATGCTGCACACTGGTAGAACCTGTTACATTAGCTAACCTGATAGCAGTTAGCTTTGTCCTCCAGAGATATGATATGTTCCTGTTTCAGCTTACTGTCTGTTTGTGATTATCATCTGCTTCATCAGTTCAAAACATGGATTATCAATATTGCCATTATTATAAATCCTGTACATTGTACATTTTTGGCACTACCACTCACGAGCTGTTTTTACCACTCTTTTCCCTGCAGTAACTACTGCAGGAAAGCTTCTCTGCCTGTCCACATTCTGTATCTGCATCTACAGTAAGTATCATATTATGTTCAGTCATGTGTCAGGGCACCAACATACAACAAAGACAAGTTAAAAGTCAGGAGAATACTGAATGGTTGGAGCGCTTGCTAATATGGTTTGAGATGCTAAAATGTTTCTCTGTAATATTTTTAGCTGCAACTCACAAGTTGCTTGATCAGTGGGTTGATCGATCGACAAAAATTTCCTCAGCCTTTTGCTGCCACAGTTTTTGCCCTTGGAGGATTAAATTTGGGATGGAAGTTACAGCTTTCGAGAATTTGCGCTTGTTTTACTCTGAATGTGATTTTTAGGGACCTAAAAACTATTATGACAATCAAAACTATCTGAAACCATGTTTCCACTTCTGTTTACGTCTCTTATTCAGTATCATTCTTAGGATGGTTTCACTAATGTCAATGCTGAGATTCATGCCAGAGAGCAGAGGAAAATCCATTTACAGTATGTGTGTTGACTTCTGCCCCAGTTTGTGCTGTGAAGCCAATGCTCATGTGACTCTTGGCGAACAGATTAAACAATCCTCCACAGTGCTACAGTTACACATCTCAGACTGGGAAAGAAAAACAACACTGTGTTTGCCTTTATTTGACAACAGCTCAAAGATCAACTGTGTTAACTCCATGCAGCATCCAACAGTGAGAGAAGTGTTGTAGATTTTACTCTTTGACATCAAAAGATGAATATGAGACAAGAGATCAACATTTCAGCTTTTATTTCCAGGTATTTACATCTGGATCTGATACACAACTTAGAAGATAGCATTATTTGTAATGGAACACAAAATTTTTAGGTGAGCAAAAGTATTGGAACATATAAACTTAAAATAGATTAAAGTGAATGAGACTTAATATTTAGTTGCAAATCCTTTGCTTTCAATAACTGCATCAAGCCTGTGACCCATTGACATCACCAAACTTTTGCATTCTTCTTTTGTGATGCTTTTCCAGGCTTTCACCGCAGCCTCTTTCAGTTGTTGTTTGTTTTGGGGGGTTACTCCCTTCAGTCTCCTCTTCAGCAGGTAAAATGCATGCTCTATTGGGTTTAAGTCTGGAGACTGACTTGGCCAGTCTAAAACCTTCCACTTCTTGCCCCTGATGAACTCCTTTGTTGTTTTGGCAGTGTGTTTTGGGTCGTTATCTTGCTGCATGATGAAGGATCTCCCAATCAGTTTGGTTGCATCTTTCTTTAAATTAGCAGACAAAATGTTTCTGTAGACTTCTGAGTTCATTTTGCTGCTGCCATCATGTGTTACATCATCAATGAAGATGAAAGAGCCCGTCCCAGAAGAAGCCATGCAAGCCCAAGCCATGACATTACCTCCACCGTGTTTCACAGATGAGCTTGTATGTTTGGGATCATGAGCAGATCCTTTCTTTCTCCAAACTTTCGCCTTTCCATCACTTTGGAAAAAGTTAATCTTTGTCTCATCAGTCCATAAAACTTTTTCCCAGAATTTTTGAGGCTCATCTCTGTACCTTTTGGCAAATTCCAGCCTGGCCTTCCTATTCTTCTTGCTAATGAGTGGTTTGCATCTTCTGGTGTAGCCTCTGTACTTTTGTTCATGAAGTCTTCTGCGAACAGTAGATTGTGATACCTTCACTCCTGCCCTCTGGAGGTTGTTGCTGATGTCACTAACAGTTGTTTTAGGGTCTTTCTTTACAGCTCTCACAATGTTTCTGTCATCAACTGCTGATGTTTTCCTTGGTCTACCTGTTCGACGTCTGTTGCTTAGTACACCAGTGGTTTCTTTCTTCTTCAGGACATTCCAAATGGTTGTACTGGCTATGGCCAATGTTTGTGCAATGGCTCTGATTGATTGTCCATCTTCTCTCAGATTCACAATTGCTTCTTTTTCACCCATAGACAGCTCTCTGGTTTTCATGTTGGTTCCACCTCTAAATGCAGTCTGCACAGGCAAAACCTATCGTACCCAATCTGAAACTGAGCTCAGACATTCAGTGCTATTTATTGTTTGAATAATCAATGTAATTGGGAGACACCTGGGCAACAAAACACACCTGTCAGTCACATGTTCCAATACTTTTGCTCTCATGAAAAATGGGTGGGTTCAAACAAAAGGTGCTATCTTCTAAGTTGTGTATCAGATCCAGATGTAAATACCTGGAAATAAAAGCTGAAATGTTGATCTCGTGTCCCATATTCATCTTTTGATGTCAAACCCAAATATTTTCAGTCTACAACAAAAATAAAGGAATTGGCCTCACTGTTCCAATACTTTTGGAGGGCACTGTATGAGCTGAGGTGGAGGGGAATGTGGATGGCGTTATCACTAGGTGAGATGCAAACCAAGCTGCAGACCACTGTTGGAGACCAACAAACAGCAATACCGGTTGTGTTTTAGCGAGTCATTACTGTTTTACAGCTGCTTTTTAGGCATCAAATGTGGGCTGTTTTAATGCCACAAAAAGATTTTGTTTTTTACTGAGACATTGCTCTATTTCCTGCTGGGATAATGCCGCCACAAAAAGTGAGTATTTAAGGCCAAAACATGATCTGTTCGTAACAGGGTTTATGCCAGACTTCTTTTTTACAGCCAATACCGCTGTTAAAACTCCAGAATTCCGGCCATATCACCTACTGCACATGTGTTTAGAATAGCATATAAAAAGCCATATCAAATTAAATACCTTGAAAAGATGCTAGGCTAAATGAGTGTTCTACATTGTAAATAACAGGGGCGATTTCTGATGTGCGTTATTCGCTGCTGGTGTGTTTTGGTCTTACATGGATTGTTGGTTTTGGTCTGTAAGGAAAAATATAGCAAATGGCCAGTCTTACCATCTACAGGTTATTTTTTGAATTTAAAATCAAGTCCAACATGTTAAAACGTCAGGATTTTAAAAACTGCTAATTTGTGCTCCCGCTGTTTTCAGGTGGTTGTCAGTATGAATATAATTGTGCTGATTTGTCCTTTTACTTCAGGATGTCTATGACAGTGTACTACCTGGCCCACTATGAGCAGCTCTCCCTGGAGACATATGAGTACATCGACTGTGGAGCAAACAGCACCATACCACACAGTATGCAGCCCCCACCCACCTGATGGATGGACTGTGGATGGAAGGACACACAGACGAACTGATGAACAGAAACTGTGGACATGTGGACTTTTTGTGAGGTGCAATTTTTTTTCTCCCATGAACTGTGTCATTGAAATGTTGGATATTTATAATGTGATGTCGGGATGCCTTAACACTCATTCTAGATGGATGGATGATGAGAAGCCCAGCTGAGAAGACAAGATGAATCTGAGTGACTAAATAAAGAATGGACTTTTTATACCTCATCTTAGTATGAAGGAAAGAAGGATGGGAACAAGTGCACTAATTTCACTGTCTTCACTGATGGTTTAACAGTTCTACAGATCAAATTGTACCATGGAGGAAACCCAGAAAAAAAGACACTGAGTGGATGTTGATAAGAGGCCAACGGCAGCACTAAAGCAGTGAGCATACTGTTACAGTATGAAAACTGGTGCAGAAATGCCACCTGAGGACTTGAATATATTTTGATCTCAGTTCAGAGCTGTTGTTATTGAAAGTAATCACACATGTGAAAATGGTGTGATAGTTTGTGTTGCTTCAAATATGATCTCTGTCTGAAAATCACTATTCAGTAACTTTCAGTGCATCTAATATTACTCAACTACTGTTTGTTTTTGTAATTTGTTATACCTCTGCACTGGTGACAGCCGTGGCCGAGGGCATTATGTTCTCGAGATGTCCGGCCATACGTCCATACTTATGTCCGTCCTCTTCTCGTGAATGCGATATTTCAAAACATCACTGAGGGAGTTTCTTCAAATTTGGCACAAATGTCCACTTGGACTCAACAATGAACTGATTAGATTTGGAGGGTCAAAGGACACTCTGACCTTGCGTCGGTCCCATTCTCATGAATGAGATATCTCAAGTACGCCTTGAGGGAATTTCCTGAAAGTTGTCACAAACATCCACTTAGATTTAAGGATCAACTGATTAGATTTTGGGGGTCAAAAGGTCAAGGTTACTGTGACCTCACAAATGAGGTTTTTGTCCGTAACTCCAGAATTCATATACTATTAATGACAAAATTTCACACAAATGTCTGAGGAGAAAGGAGAAAGTGATGACATTTTATATCTAAAAGGTTAAAGGTCAATATCACTGTGACATCATGATGTTCTGTAAAAACACTGTTCTGGCCATTATTCATTTCCATATATCAGGAACAGAAGGGGAGACGTGGTCAGATACGGGGGGGGGGGGGGGGGGGGGGGGGGGGGGGGGGGGGGGGGGGGGGGGGGGGGGGGGGGGGGGGATTCTAGTTTCATGAGCTGAAAAAGTAGGTTACAGTATATTTGTTGTAATACAAGTACGTAAGTTAAGTTAGTGAAAACTGCACCACAGTTTTGTCAGACTGGTGCAGCCATGTTGAAAATACAAACAAATGAAATCATGGGATAAGTTGTTTTATTCTGCCTTCACCTAGAAGCAGTACGTAGCATTATTTTTATTATTTATTTGACATCTTAAAAGGTCAAACATACATTACACCAAACACGTATTAAATTAAAATGCCTTGGATAACACAATAAAGTTAAATGAATACCTAATTTCTGTTGTGGTCCTTTAATACTCAAGACCAAGACATAGTTGACATACAGTAGGTACACTATAGAAAATCAAATGTGAGGACCTTTTAGGGCTGCAGCTTTCATTAGTAGAGCTGGCAGTACATAAGATAGTAATTTGAACAAGATGCCTTATGTTACTGTTACTGGAGAAATTTGGTAGTCTGCATGCTTGACGGCATGGTGATACAATTATGATTTCCCTAGATATTTGTTTTGTAAGACTTTATCAGATGCTGCATGGAACAGTTTACCACTGCAAGTAGTTTGAATGATCTGGTTTCTGAGGTTCACATATTTAATGAAAGAGAACTCATGCGTAATACAGTAGGGGAGGGAGCCAGTTTCAGTGCTGTAAACTGGTCAGTCTGATAGTCTGTACTTACTTTGCCATATATTTTATCTAAACATGTGGACTCCATATCTACTAATTATAAGATTCAGAGCCTCCAAACATGGTCCGGTAATCCAGTGTGGTTATCAGAGAACAGTGATCTTTCTCCTCGTCTTCACCACTGCTGGGCATACTGTAAAGACTGTGAGATAAACAGGCATTACTCCTCTGAAAATACTCAAAAACATGCTCTGCTTTTACAAGCAAGTTGTTCTCTCCTAAGATAGGTGATCGTGCAACTAGAAGCTGATTCATCATACTCACTGAGTATCTGTTGGGGACCTTGGCACTGTGATGGACTTGTGTCTTCAGGTTGCCCTTACAGTGGGGACACTGGCCTCCAACTGGAAACAACACATAAAATACTGGATGCAGGCTTAGTAAGTCTTCCTTAGCTTAAAGCTGCACTAACCAGTACTTTCATGTGAACAATAGATGAAATCACTGGGTGTGGCTCATAGTGATAAACCTACAGTGAATTATAACCAGTGTTAATTTCTAAAACTATGATGAAGATTTTTCTTCAACTGCCTTTTTTCCATGACAAAAATAAGATGATGATGAGCTTAAAGAAGATTTTGATAATAAAAACTAAGATTAAATCTATGTTTGATTTTCAGTGATAAGATGTGACAAAAATATTAGTGGTGGGCTATCGGACATTGAAAGCTGAGAGCAGCGGTGCTTGTTGCTATCCTCAAATGCTGCATGAGTGACAGGCTGGTAAATCCCAATAAACAGTAGTTTCACTAGCCAGCAAAAACACTCACAGCGGAGCAGCATCAGCCGCAGGTGCAAGTTGTGAGCCATAATTCAGCAGTAAACAATGGTGGAGCTGCTGAATGGATTTGTGGAGTTTGTTAGCTGCAGCGGTGGCTGAGAGCAGCTACACCTGTTAGCTGCTGAACAGCAGTGGAGCAAGGAGCCACCGGCCACCACTCTTCACATCTGTTGATCTCCGCAGACTCCACTCAGTCTGGACTTGAGCAGGTTTATGGTTTGATGCTGTTTGACAGGCAGATGCTCAGTTATTTGTGAGTGTAGCTGTGCTGTAAGTAAACTGTCTGAAGTCAGATCAGTTTTCTCTGACAGAGATGAAAGTTTAGTTTTAATCACCGACTCTGTGAGAGGACACAAGTTTAAACCTCTAGACTAATATGTTGCAGATTAAGAAGGAACTCAGGCTGAAATTTCGTTGTTTTTCTGCTTCTCAACAGAGACAGTGATAAAGCAGAGTTTACAATGAACCTGGGCACAAATCCTCTCAGATTAGTTATTTGTGGTGTCAGAGCATTTGAGAGCATAAATTGAGAGATGTTGAGCTTTTCAACAGACGATCAGTAAGTGTGTGCTCGTACACCACCCCTCAAACCTGTCAAAAACTGCTGGAGAAATGACAGATTGTAAGTGTGTAAAAAGTTTTTGTAGTTGTAGAAAAAATTATACAACCTGTCACCTTGATTCTAATTTCTGATACATGAATTAGCCTCACTGGATTTGTTTAAAGATAAAAAACAAAACATATTTATAAACATAATAACTAAAAGTTGACTAAAATGTCATTAATGTCTGTCAACTACAACTAGACTAAAACTATCACTAACTCTGCTGTGATCTTAAGCTCTGCAGAGCCGTTTAGCCTCTTTTTGCTAACTGTTTTGTTGTTCAGCAAACTACACAAACTCTGCACTCATCAGTCCTGTTTCTAGCCGCAACAGCATCAAGTATCGCCTCCTGAGCAGTGCTTAAATTAAGTTCCAGACACTTGTCCCCAAAGCGACCCAAGGACAGTGGAACAAAAACGCTCATGGTAATAGATACAGGAGTTTCTGCAGTGGAAAAAAGGTATTTGATGATCAGCTTCAGCTCATCCTTAAAGGAAGCTGTTCTCAAAATAGGAAGTACAACTTGCGTTTTTTGATGAATGGTGATAGATGTTTCATTGTCCAACTGCATTCTGAATATATCCATGTCAAGAATAGTGATACCTGTTTGCTCCTGTGTTGTGTTTGACTCTGTTGCATTGCAGCTGGTCTCAGAATCCCTCTGCAGCAGCTGTAAAGTGACAGGTAACCTGAAGTAAACACTCCAAATACAGCAAACCAGTGCAAAAGAGCACAGTTAAAAGAAAATGGCAAGCTTGTAAGTTTGTAAGTTGTAAGTTTTCTGGATTTTATTCAGCATCATAGAAACAGAAGGGGAGACATTGGGTCATATACTGAACTGGTGACACTAATCTTGAAACTGTTTTGACTGTAAAGATCTTCTATGCTGCCAGGTTGAAGATGTGTGTGAAGCACATGTTTAGTCACAAAATACACAGAATACCTTTTATTAAATTCTGTCAAAGTCTGTAATTCTCATTTGTTTCTTTCAAGTGCCTATTAGTGTCCTATCTTGAAATAAATGTATATGTAATTGAAGTCAATGCGTCTTAACTCAGGTCTCAAAAAATGAAACAGAGTAACTACTAAATCCAACTGAGAAAACAAATATGGTTTTTGGTCTGAATACATCCTGGAAATCAGCAACAGGATACAAGCTGTCAGATTCCCACAGGAAACAAGTTTGACCCCATGCTGGGGTGTCACATGTCCCTTCTCAGTTTCAAATTAGCCCTGCTGTTGTTCAATAATAAAGTAGACCAGACAGACTGCTGGATCAACCTTTCACCTACCAGTCTATAGGCCTCTGGTTTGAAAAAAATATCTTAAGAATTGAATGCCCACTGTAGAAGTTCCATTTTTATTTTTTGTCTACATCGTCCACAAACAGTAAATGATGCACATGCTGTTCTAGATTGTTAAATGATTACTTACTCTAAATTAATAACTACAACACTCCTGTAAATACTTTCACTGTTTGAAATATCACCATAGATGCAAATGCATGAGTCCTACAGGAGAATATGATGGAAGCACTAAGGTACACAGGATCTGGTTGTGTTGTTATTTACCTGTTGTTTGTCTCTGGTCATCCTGCGGTCCACAGCACTCTGACGCCGTCTGGCCTCCCAGTGCATTGCCGACATCCCAATGTACAGCTACAGCTAGAGGAGTATTCACTGGATGAGTGACTTTGTTAATTGTGTTAAGAACAAAAACAACCATGGTTTGCTCACACATTAGGTCACACAAAGAATAATACACGGAGTATATAAAAACAGGACTGCAAGCTAAATGCTAATTGTTAATCAGAATCAGAATCAGAATAGGCTTTATTGGCCAAGTATGTGCGTACATTCAAGGAATTTGACTTCGGTAGACTTGCTCTTATTGTACCACTATTGACAAATACTCAAAAATTAGACAAGAAAGTGGAATATACAAAATATACAATGTACAAAAAAATATACAATATACATCAAATTGAGTATTTATATCTGCAATAACATGTATTGAGGCCATTTGGGGGAACAAGGTTCAAACACAACACCAACATATTATATAAGGCTAATGTGTTAGCAAACAGTTGCCTATTTACATACCCAGCTGACACAGAGCAGCTTTGGCATGCTAAATATTTGGCTCTGAGGCTGCAATATGCTGCCTGCTGCTGGAAAGATGGTGGATGGCGTGGCCCCTAGGCAAAACACCTACTAACCTGCAAACCACCGCTGTTTCAGACCAACAAAAACAGCAGTCGTTGCAGCATTTTCCAGCAGCTTTTTAGCCCCCAAAGGTAAACAGTCTTTAACGGTCTTTAGGGATAGTGTCCCCAGAACTACGTATTTCAAAACATGATCTTTACCTAATTATAACCAAGTGGTTTTTGTGCCTAAACCTAATCACTTATTCATCACAGTGTTGTCAAAACATAAAGTTTAATGTACCCTCTACATAATAATATACAAATGTAACGTTTCCCTGGGTTGCAGAAAACATACAATCCATCATTTTGTCTTGTGAATAGATTGATCATCAACATGTATCTTGACTTGGGCTAGACTATTCCAATTCATGACGGATTTTTATTATTATTATTATCATTATTATTGCAAGTATTATAATGTGGAGTTAGTGGCATTTCCCATGCAGGGAAGATGCTACTGAGTTGTATTATGGGAATGTAGTGTGTTTGGGGCTTGACATAAGGTCTTATAGCCACTGATGCATTGATTGTAACCATTCTGTTTTGAATGTGTCTCTCCCAAGTCACCCAACTTTATGACAGTGCAACACTAAATCACGGGACTCTTTAAGGTGTTGGGTGTGATTCCTCTAATTGTGTAACACTGTAAAGCTCCTTCTGAATTTCCTCTAAGTGCAGTTCAACATGGCCTAATCCGCTTTCTGTGTCCCATCGTTGCCAATTGCCAAAAAAAAATGCTGACATTGTACTTGTATGCAAACCACAGATATGTTCGCACATTATTACATCATTGTACATGAGTTGGTGTGGGTCTGAACCCTGGAGTGGGGGAGCCCCTCCATGCAGAGTTTGCATGTTCTCCCCGTGTCAGCGTGAGTTTTCTCTGGGTACATGGGCTTCCTCCCACAGTCCAAAGACATGCAGGTTACATGAACTGGTGAATCTAAATTGGCTGTAGGTGTGAATGTGAGTGTGAATGGTTGGCTGTTTCTATATGTCAGCCCTTTGATAGTCTGGAAACCTGCCCAGGGTTAATACCACAGCTTCCCTTTGTTGTGTTACATTCAGGAAATGACCTGTAATAATTTCCAGGAAATGACCAGCATGCCTAAGGTTAAATAATTGTCCATTTCTTCATTTTCATCCTAAAAACCAAAAACACAGCTTTCAGTATGTCGAACAGTCTTCCGTGCCACAACGGTCAAAAACCATTTGCCATTCCGGTTCAAACACCTGGCAGCAACAATGTCCCTCTGACCTTTATTCACTAAGCCCAAAATACCAGCACATAGCCACCCCATGTACTCACATGGTAAATAAAAATTAATGTTTGCTAAATGAAAGGACATATTTGGCTCTTACACATGGTTCTGACAAATAGAGCTACCACTCAGAATGACCTACTAACACAAACTGTTCATTCATGGTACGTTTAAGTGATGAAATAAACCCACCAAAACCATACCAGGTGACACAACCATACTTTTAACCACATTTATAGAGGTAGTAGCATATCCTGCTGGATAATTCCTATCCTATATAATGGCCTACTCTACTTTTAACCACATTGTGATAGATATTTCTACCTGACAGAATGTGCTGCTCTACTTTTACCTACATTTATAGAACTTGTAGTCCATTCTGATAGATTCTTTGCTACTGGTAGGTCATTCTGAGCGGGTAGCTCCATTTGTCAGAACACCAACATTTTCTTATGGCGACTGGGCTGCAAATAAACCAGTATCCTAAGGTGTATTACTTTAAATGGATTGCGGACAGCATATGAAGTAGCTGGTACAACACTGAATCTATTTCTGCTGATAAAACAGCAGCTGTTAGTGTAGATGCTGTGGTAACAGCTTTTAAATGTTAAAAGGTAGCAGGTAGCTTAATCCACATACAATACAAGATATTTTGTTGTAGTACCAAAATAATATTTACATGTACAGCTGCTTCCTCTCTGTCTAACTGCATTGTGTCTACAGGTTTTGATCTGACATTACAGTCACCTGATACAGTAACTCCTAACCACTGTCAGCTCCTCTGATTACTGATCTCTTCCTGTATTACTCTCAGTGCCACTCCTGTCACCTGGCTGGCACACATTGGATATCCTATCACAGCTAATCACTACTTTGACTTATTTTATTATTAAGATGATTATTCAATTTAATCACTGTATCATGCATCTAAATATGCCTGGCCTGCTTGGGTTTGCATTTCATATAAACCAGATACAGAATGCAGCACATACACATTTTCTAATGAAAAAGTCCAATAATTAAGATTATCACTTCACATGATGTTTTTCAGAAGTTTTTGTTGGTTTCTTATATAACCCATAAATCATGGGATTGTAACCCTCTGTGGAAATTAAAGTAAACCCTAACTGGACAGTCTTTGCTTCATGGCAAACATAATGACAGTAATTTTAAACAGTCTTTATGATTTCTGATCACCTATACACTTTAAATGTAATTGTTTGTGATCCATTTCATGAAAAGTTGACACTTTTAAATCATCATAGTATGTAGAGTACAGAAGAAACTCACTCTCCAATCCTTCCAAATCACACAGCTTACACTGCAAGATTTTCTAGCTTTAACCAAAGATCTTTGGTGTCTGAATTAACACAATTTAATGTATAAATCAAGGGAATAGCTTTGCTTAATCTGCAAATACACTATACTTTCAATATCATGTATTTGGGTAAGACACATGGCCATGAGATAAAACATGCAATTTTTTGCTGAAAGAAAATTAAATATGTGTCAGCAGTCAATACAATTTAGTGCAGTGACACCTGAGAAATAATGAGCGAGCACATAAGAGCATTTACTCACCTGACCTTTGTTTAAACCTGGAGAAAAAGCAGCTGTGGAATTCACAGTGGAGGACTGGTGGAGGCTGAGGTGTCAGTCTCTCTTTACCTCTCTCCTGTCTCTGACCTTGTTAAGGTCCAGGCAAGTTTCCAGGCAACATAATGCTCTCCTGGGCAGCTTTTGTAAGAGAGAAACAGAAAGGTAGGAAGGATCAATCATTGTTCACAACCCCCATGGCTCACTTACAATGGTCCCACCTCCCGATGTGTGTGTGTGATTCTCTGTGTGATCCTGGGTTTATGTTCTTATTAACTCTCTCATGCATTTTCCATAGCCATACAGCAGATATTAACTTCAGGAGAATTACTCCTGCATACTGTCAGCAGTAAGTTTATGAACAACAACATCAAACACAACTCAATCACCAGAAAAAATGTTGGCATTGTAAGTTTTCAAACCACTGGTATGTTACATTTGTGCATAATTATGTAGCAGATACACTGATACCTCACATTTCTTTACATTTCAGTAAATTATAGTTTTGGCTTAAAATACTGCTTGTCATGTCACTATGCCCAATAGAAAAATAGCAACGACTTGCTAAAAACATCCACGTTTGGTGCCGAAAAAGCTACCTGGAAAACAGTGAAAGGTCACTAAAGAACACCCACATTTGATACCCAAAAAGCTGCTGGAAAAACAGCAATGACTTGCTTAAAATACCCATATTGGGTACCTAAAAGCCACCAGGAAGACAGGAATGGGTCACTAAAAAACACCCACCTTTGGTACCTAAAATGCCGGTAGAAAAGCAGCGATGGGTTGCTATATAAACACCCACAATGAGTGCTTCAAAAGCTGCAATAAAAACAGCAATGGGTCGCTAAAAAATACAGACTATTAGTGACCAAAAAGCTGTTAGAAAAACAGTGATAGGTCAAAAACACCCACAATTGGTGCCTTAAAAACCACCAGGACAACAGCAATGGATTCACTAAAAACCAACTACTTTTGGTGCCAAAAATCTGCGGGATAAACAGTGATGGGTGGCTATAAAAACACGCCCACAATTGTTGCCTAAAAAGTTGCTGGGACAACAGCAACAGGTCGCTAAAAAACCCCACCTACAATTGGTGCCTAAAAAGCTGCCGGGAAAACAGCAACGAGTTGCTAAAAAACACCCATGTTTGGTGCACAAAAAGCTGCGGAAAAAACAGGAATGACTCGCTAAAAAATACCCACACTGTGTGCCTCAAAAGCTGCCAGGAAAACAGCCATGGGTTGCTAAAAAATATTGGTCTACTATTGTATGTACTATCTGGTCTACTATTAGTGGCCAAAACGCTGTTCAGAAAAAAATAATGGGTCACTAAAAACACCCGCAATTGATGCCTTAAAATCTGCCGGGACAACAGAAACGGGTCACTATAAAACAACACCCACTTTTGGTTCCCAATAAGCCACTGGAAAAAAAAGAAACAGGTCACTAACACACAACTGGTTTTGTTGTTTGCTGGTCTCAAATGGTGGTCTGCAGCTTGGCAAGGGTGTCTTGCCTAGGTGTCACTTCATCAACCATCCGCTCCACCTCCCAATGACAAAGTCAGCTCATATACTACATTACTTTAGAAACTTTGAAAGATATATATGAAACATGCAAATGTAACATATTCTTGTTTTGTAGAAACATACAATGCCCACAATTTCCTCTGGGGACTGGGCTGTTAAAAACAATAATATCTTTATACCTGAGTCATAGGCTGCATCAACCCATCAAATAAGGAGTCTGTTCACAAACACTGTGGACAGTTACACTGTTGGTAATTGATATGGGACATAAGGGGAAGAGCAATGCAAGGAAAAAAAATAAATAAAAAAAATAAAAATAAAACTGGCATCTGAAAAAAGTCAAAAAGAAAACCTCATGAAAAACAAAAACCTTGTATTAAAATTTTATGGAATGCTGAGTTAAAAGTTTAATATTAAATAAGATAAAATAAGATAAGATAAGATACACCTTTATTGATCCCGCAATTGAGAAATGCCAGTGTTACAGCAGAAAAGGGGGAAAGAGTCAGATTCAAGATTTCAAAATTTAAAAAACTTGAAAAACTAGGCATGCAATAAAAGTACAAAAAATACAAGAAACAGCAATAAATAATAGTAATAATAATAATAATAATGATAATAATGAGCAGTGGATTAAAGTGAGCATATTTAGTGCAAATTGATTTTATGTGCAAATAGACAACAACAAGGGGGACAGTAATGCTTATTATGGTGTCCCTAAAGTGTTCATGGTGCAGTCTACTGTGAGCAGTGCTGGTTATGTAGCCTGACAGCAGCAGGTAGGAAGGACCTGCGATAGCTTTCCTTCACACACTTTGGGTGAATCAGTCTATCTCTGAAGGAGCTCTCCAGAGCTTTTATCTCCTCCTGCAGTGGTTGTGAGTCTTTAGTCCTCAGAGATGACAGCTTGTCTGTCATTCTCCTTTCTCCTACCACCTGCACAGAGTCCAGAGAGCATCTCAGGACAGAGCTGGCCTTCTTGATCAGCTTGTCCAGTCTCTTCCTATCTGCAGCTGAGATGCTGCTGCCCCAGCAGACCACTCCATAAAAGATGGCTGATGCCACCACAGTGTCAAAGAAGGTCTTCAGGAGTGCCCCCTGCACTCCAAAAGACCTGATCCTCCTCAGCAGTTAGAGTCTGCTTTGGCCTTTCCTGTATAGTGCTTTTATGTGATTAGTCCAGTCCAGTTTATTGTTAAGATGAACACCCAGGTACTTATAAGATGTCACCATCTCAATGTCCTTTCCCCGGATGTTCACCGGTGTTGGGGGGAGGAGTCTGCGCCTGCAGAAATCCACCACCAGCTCTTTGGTTTTCCCCACATTGATCTAAAGGTGGTTCCTCAGGCACCAGTCCACAAAGTCCTGGTTCAGTTCTCTGTACTCCCTGTCGTCCCCATCTGTGATGAGGCTGACTATGGCAGAGTCGTCGGAGAACTGCAGATGACAGGTGGGGGTGTCGTATGAAAAGTCTGCAGTGTAGAGGGTGAAGGGGAACGGTGCCAGCACCGTCCCCTGTGGGGCCCCCGTACTGCAGACATCCAAGTCCTTTACACAATCCTGGGTCCTGTCATACTGCGGCCGGTCCGTGAGGTAGTCCAGGATCCAGGATGTGAGGTGATTAGCCACCCCTATGTGCTCCAGTTTGTCCCTCAGAAGCGCAGGCTGTATGGTNGAGGTAGTCCAGGATCCAGGATGTGAGGTGATTAGCCACCCCTATGTGCTCCAGTTTGTCCCTCAGAAGCGCAGGCTGTATGGTGTTGAAAGCACTGGAGAAATCAAAGAACATGATTCTCACAGAGCTTCCGGGCTTCTCCAGGTGATAAAGATCTCTATGCAGGAGAAAGATGATGGCGGTGTCCACCCCAATGCCAGGCTGGTAGGCAAACTGCAGCAGGTCCATTGAAGGGCCTACTGGGGGGCGGAGACGAGACAGGACCAGGAGTTCCAGACTCTTCATGAGGTGCGATGTTAATGCCACTGCTCTGAAGCTACTGAAGTCCTTGGGGTGCAGAGTCTTGGGCACAGGTACCACGCAGGATGTCTTCAACACCTGTGGTACTTTTCCCCAGCCTCAGGCTCAAGTTGAAGATGGTTTCAACTATCCCGCTCAGTGGGTCTGTGCAGGACTTCAGGAGCCTGGAGCTGATGTTAATGATATGATGATAATATATCATAATCTATTTAAAGCTCTATATCAAGCAAAGAAAAGATCAAAATCACACACAACATAAAGTGGAGCTATGTATGAATAACACCAAATATTTTTACTTCATTGTAAGGTTGGTCAGGTCAGAACACCCATCCGGGCTGCCATTCCTCCTGCGGACAGCAGAGTGCACTACCTCACTGTGCAATAAGGAATGATGGCCTGCCTGGCTGACTGCTCTGGGATCAGGAAAGCAAATTAACCACTTCTGCACAAGGACATGAAAGAAAAGGAAGCTGCTTCTTTATTAGGCAGGAACATTTGGTCAAGCTGGTAAGTTTCCCCTCATTTAAACCACAGAGGTTGTTTTGGGGGCAGTTTAGTCTGAATAATCTTTCCAAAAGAGGTAACAATGGAAGGAGATGGCTTCAGTCTGGATCATCTAGAGAGGAGATTTTTACAGCTCCTGGCTCTACCCTGAAAATAAATGTGCTGGGTGATGATTCTATAGCAGCTCTCTATTTTTGTGTAATTTGGAATTATAAGCCTCCCAGCCTTGTAATGGCTAAACTGGTTGGTTGTAATTTGTAGCCAAAATAAGCAGCAACAAATTATGCAATCCAAAAAACTGAATGACAGCTCAACAGCTCAAACCCAAGTTTCTGTAACAATACCAAAACAATACATTTTCTATCTTACTTGGATAAATACAGTCATGTTTTTTTAACCTTGTTTTTATTATTACTTATCTTTACCTATTTGTGTTACATGTTGTAACATAAAACAGCTGTGAATGACTCTGTCCTAAATTAAATGAAATATTAGCTAAGTTATGATGATTATAAATAAAGAACTATCTGAATAAGTATGTAACTTGTCAGTTTTTCTTATTTTGATTTCTCAACTTCAAAAGTACTGACAGACAAAACCCACTCCTGTGGGACAACCATGAGTTAAAGAGGACAACATGATGTTTGCTGAGGTGACATGACAACTATACAATCTGCATACTGATAGTATCAACGTCATGGAAGCTTTATATTCAGATGTGTGTGTGTGTGTGTGTGTGTCTACATATATGTATGTATGCTCATATCTATCCTCCTGCTAGTCACACCTGACACACCTGATAACAGTTTGGCAGGTTGTCACACACACGCACACATACACACACACATCTGAATATGAACCTTCCATGACGCTGATACTATTAATTTTACATTGAATTTACAAAACATGTGACAGCAGGGTCATCTTGTTAAAATCAGGACCATCAGGATCGATTTCCACAATAAGATCAAACAGCTCCAAACAATAATGATAAAATATTATGTCTTAATTATTTTGTGTGTGTGTGTGTTTGAAACAAGTAATGACCTATTGACTGGAGCCAGGCTGACTGACTTGCTGTGTTTTGAGAGGACACACACACACACACACACACACACACACACACACACACACACACATTGTTACCATAATGAGTGTCTGGTATCAGGAGAGGACTACGAAGACCATTGTCATGCAAATCAATACAGCTGAGCCATTATGTCATAGATGGCTCATACTGACCCATGATGACCTGTCGGCACTCCAGCTGTGACCAGGATGAAACCTTTTAAAATTGGCCATTATAGCTCCTTCTAATCTGAACATGTCTTGTTTTGAGGAGAAGAAGCAACCTTTCTTTTTCCTATCATAATTATTAATTCTACTTATTCCACAGCTGCTGTTGATGCTGTCTCTGTGCACAGGGTTTGTACAAAGAGAGAGCTGAAGTCATGACATCATGTCAGGGCTGGCTTCTGTTCTCTCTCAATGCAATCTGTGTCCCTGGGATTTACTTTACAGGATGGATCAGATCCACTGCAGCAGTTGCTATTAAAAATTGAAATCTTCTGAGTGTGAGTAAGAGTAACGAGTACATTGCGCAGAAAAAGTACAGTTCCCATGAAAATGTGGGACCACAGCAGCACAGGTACTTACATGATCAAAACTCGGTTGTGTCCATATCCATAAAATTCCCTAACACTAATTTTTCCAAATTTGTAAATGTAATATCTGCCATTTAGATACTTCTAATTCAGTTCTCTGTGTCCTGCTGCTATTACAGACATGTCTGAACTTGCTACAGCCCCTCAACTCGCTCATGAAAGACTCCTCTTCTGTTAAGCAGAATTAAAAAGGTTAATACTAGCTCCACAATGCTGCAACATCAAAATGCTGCTTACATATTAATGTTACAATTGTAATATCAATAATTACAATAATTATCAAAATAATGTATATACAGGCCAGTCACCAGAGGAAAATGTTGGCATTCTACATTTCTGCAAATGTATTGACTGTGTTACATTTGTATCATATCAGTGTTCTGAAAGTAATGTAGTAGGCTGTATGTGCTTTAGCCCCTTTTACACTGTGTCTTCAAAGTGGGAATTTCACACCATTATTCTGCCTTGTCGATCTGTATAAAACTTACAATCGCAAAATGGGAGGACAGAGCTGTCTCGCCTTTAAGCAAGCATCTGAGGTAGTAGTAGTGCCTGCAGGATTGATTTAAAAAGTAGCTGATAGCAGTTAGCAGCTAACACAAAAAGAAAAACAGCAGTTGTAAATGTTGGCAAATTAGAAAAACAATGAAGTCTGGGAGCTCCTTACCCTTCCAGCAGAGGACAAGATCAACTGCCATATAGCAGAGATGTTATTGCCATGTTATGCCATTGCTATTGTTTATAAAGCATTTCCGATGTATAGTTACATGTCACACTAGAGGCCGACGCTGTTTTGTTATGCCCGTCACACCTCTTTTGCCTCCAGGATGCCAGCATGCGGCCTAAAATCAAACACTGGCACTGCAAGATGCCGCCTTTGTTTGGTTCTGTGTAAAAATTCAAAGGCAGCATAAAGAAGGGACTTCGTCATGGCCCTATAGCGTTATCTGTGTTTGAAAGGGTTTTTGTCATCACGAGGATGGTGGATGGTGCAGCATCTAGCTGCATACCACTTTTTTGAGACCAACAACAGCTGTTGTTTTTTAGTGACTGGTGGTCGGTGTTTGCAGCGGATTATGTGCTGCTGAACATGTGTATTTAGTGACCTGACACTGTGTTCAAGCATTTTTGTGCTGCTGGACATGGGTGTTTTTTTTAGTTGCTGCTCTTTCTGCACTTTTTGTGGTACCAAACGAGGTAATTTTAAAGGCAAAACATGATATTTTCTGAACTATAACCAAGGGTTTTTTGTGCCCAAACATAAGCATACAATAACCACAGCAATTTTAGAAACTAAAGTTTCAACATATTTGCTATAACATACAAATGCAACGTATCTGTGATTTGCAGAAATGTAAAATGCCAACATTTTGTCTGGCGATTGGATGAAAATACAATCACCTACACTGAATGGGCTTATGGGCCCTTTTACATTGTATAGTTTTTCATTATGGTATTGCTAGTATAACTCAAATAAAGGGAATTAATAGCCTACTTCTTCCACCAGTGCATACAAACACAGCAATGGCAAATCAAATTCAAAAACAGCATTTTAAATTGTGCTTCAAAATAAAGAATATTTAAATGATTACACAAGTCCCTAATGTCACAGACGACTATCTGTCTTCCATTGTGCCCGGTCCTCTCGCTCTCTCTGTCCCTCCTGCTGCTGTTACGTCAGCAGCGGGGGGGTTGGTCGTGCTTTTCTCGGCGGCGGCGCTACTTCTCTCACTGCCAGTCGTCTCTGGACCAACGCGACACGCACACACGGTTTGCCCGGCGCAGCTTTGAAAAGGAATATATCGTGATTATTTTTGTGTTAAAACTTGGATACTGTTCGTAAACTCGTCGCAATGCAACAATGTCAACTATAATAAAGAGCTTGGAAGTGCCGACAGGTGAGAAATAATAACATTAAATCCAAATAACCTAAACGTGTGTTGACTTTTTTGTAGAGCGGCTGTCTGTGATTAGACCGGCGGCTCCGCTCCTTTGAGTCCTTCCGCCGCGAAGCACAAAGAGAAGAACTATACACTTCTTACCGAATTAGACTTAGGCTACTAACTAAACTGTAACTTATTGGTTTGTACTACAATTGCTCAGAAATGTCTGAATGCATGTGAACTTTTTTCTCTTGTGCTTCGGTTTTGTGGCTGTATTTCTAACCGAATTTCAACCAGGACTTGTAACGTTTGTGCCTGATTGGGTAACTAACTCACTCAGCATTAGCGTTGGTTGACGCCACCAAAAGCCAGAGCAGGGGCTCCATTTGATCCCTGTTTTTTCTAGTTCTGTGCAGGAGACAGCTAGAAAACACAACATCTGCTGACAGTGCTCTCTGCCGTACAAATGCAATGCCTCACCATTTACTGAGCACCCTGTCAGAACAAAAGATTACCAGCAGTTTACAACACAAGTTTTTTTTTTTTACATGGAATTAGCACTGTAGTCATATTTGATCAAGCACATAATTGGATATAAATAATTGTTACACTAAATTTATAAAACGCGCTAACCCTGGAGCCTTAATTCATTCTATGTGCAGTTTTTCCAAAGTGAAAAAAATGTGGCTTTGGTGTACTGTTCTGTCTTCATGGAGAGATAGTGGATTGGGGCTGCACTAAGTTTCAGCTAGTCTTAATTACTGACAGCCCAGTTCCCCTGTAAAGATAGCTGACTCATGTTTTCCTCCCCCTCTCCTTTTTTATCTCATGTCCTCAGAGACTGCAGCCAGCAGTCTATCCCCTCATCACCCTGCACCAGCCATTGAAGTGAGGCCAGGAGTGTGAACTGCTCTCTAGCCAAACGACCCCTCCCTGTCCCTCCTGCCACCTTCAAAGTGTCCAGACATACACTTTTTTTGCTGCCAAGGACACAGAAAGCAAGTTAGACAAGGGCTCAGGAAAACAACAAGATCGTGGGAGTTAAAAGGAAGACCTGCCAAAGGAAATAATTTTGTGTTGTAAATCTTTAGAGGGAATATTCCACTTTACAGGACTTAAACATGGGGAACCAGTTAACAGAAATTGCCCCCAACACCCCATTCCTCCCCAGCTTTCAGTCTTTACATGTAGTAGTGATTGGTTTGGACTCTGCAGGGAAAACCTCGCTCCTCTACAGACTCAAGTTACGGGAGTTTGTTGAGACGATCCCCACCAAAGGCTTCAACATGGAGCGGATTAAAGTGCCCATGGGGAACTCCAAAACCAACACCACCACGTTCCAGGTTTGGGACGTCGGCGGTCAGGACAAACTGAGGCCCCTCTGGAAATCATACACCAGGAGGACGGACGGACTGGTATTCGTGGTGGATGCAGCTGAGGCAGAGCGAATGGAGGAGGCCAAAGTGGAGCTCCACCGGATCACCCGGTCAGCGGAAAACTTGGGGGTGCCTGTGCTGGTTCTGGCAAACAAACAGGACCTGGATGGAGCTGCGTCAGCTTCAGAGGTAATTATTGTCACATAAATGGCTTGGTATTGTTGTATAGAGCTGATTTAGCTATTGTAGCTTCTTCAGTCTATATTACTTCATATTACTTAACTGTAAACTGAATTTCTTAAGCTTTTCAGCTGTATGGTGGAAAAGACAAGATGTCAGTATTGGCTTTGGTAAATGGTGATGTGTGTTTTCACGAAATTGGGATTTTTTTTGTTGTCAAAGTATTGCTTTGGTATCTGAACTAAAGCTTAAGTATCATACTAGCACTAAAAGCCAAAAAATTCAAATTATATCATGTAGGGCTGCACAATTATTTAAAAAAATGTATCAAAACCACAACATTGCCGAGTTCAACATACAAATCGTATAGGATCCAGTTTTTTGATTAAGGTAAAATGTGTTGACATCCCATTATAATTGAAGCATTGTGGTGTTACAGAGATTCCCCAGCCTAGATATCATTAATGGCATAAGAGGACATGCTTGTTTGGTTCAGACCCCAGTAAAAATCACAGCATGATCATATTTATATTTGTATGAAGTATGAATGAATTGCAAAATTTCCCATTCCCATTAAAATCGCAACTCATACCGCAATATCTGTGCAAATAATCGCAATGATATTGTTTTATATATCATGCAGCCCCAATACCAAGCCCAATCCACGAGTGATAGATTTTCAAGAAAGGTCTTGAAAGGTTTTACATCATGGTGTTCTTGGCTTTTACTAATAAAAGATAAAATGGCTAGCCAGAGATAAACTTAAGTGCAACTGATTCAACACATGGAAACTGCAACATTACTGAGTTTGACTTCAAGGTAAAACTCAAGTTACACTTTTATGAAGTGCTACGGTCTTTGTACGTCTCTATGAAGTCCACAAGCCGCCATAGCTGCTTGGTTTACATGCAGGGATGAATTGTACTGACTGCACATGCATAAACAAAAGCTATATGAACAAAACTAATAACAGACCAAACAGAGCAGAGTGTGCGTCTGCTGTCCATGTTCACTTCAGAATACACTGGGCCTTTAAAATGGTGTAGCCTTGTACGTGCTACGATATAAATCAGCCCCGACATGGTGGTGGTCACTGCAGATAGACAGTGCGTTTGTTACTAAACTCACCAGGAGTGGCAGCACAGTTGGAAAATGAAAAATGTTGGCGGGTGTTCCAAAGCCTTGTAAAAAAAACATCCACAATGACCATATACTGATGACTGTCAACTGAATATTTCATTCCTAAGTAAGCCTGCTTAAAAATCCTTGTAGAAATACGTTTGAAAGGAATGATGCAATACATTGTGTTGGCCAGATGATTTTCTCACTAGGGTTGATGATCAATTGCACCAGTAGGGATGAAAACCATCATATAGTAGAACATTGTTAACCAGGAATATTGCTGCCTTTCTCCCTTTAGAAACAAAATAATTGCCAACACTGCATTAGCATCTGAGCCGTCATTTTGTAGTGTGTTACTGAGAAAATTGACTGTAGAGCTGCAACGATTTTTATTCTTATTGATCAAGTTGTCGAGTATTTTGTCAATCGTTCAGTCTACAAAATGTCAAAATAGTGACATGTTCACTGAAATCGATTACTTCAGATGGCTTGTTTTGTCAAGCCAACAGTTCAAAATCTAATTATTCCCAGTTTCGATTTTTTTATCATATAAATTATTAATATTAGTCAATAACAGTCAATTGCTTTTTAGTCCACTAGATGCATTTTGCTGCTGCAAAAAATGGCTGAGGTAAGATGAACAGGCAGAAAACTTAATCTCTTTAGAGAAAAGAGATATTACCAAAGTTTTCCTTTAGGGACATAAAAAGAAATTGCAATATATTATACCACAATACTCAGCATATCACAACATTAATTTAAAATCGCAATAATATTGTATCATGACTTGAGTGTCGTGATAATATTAGGGATGTCCAGATCCAATATTCGGATCGGTATCTGCCACCGATATTAGCAAAAAACGTGCATCGGCATCGGATCGGACTGCATGGAAAAATGCCAATCCAGAACTCAGATCCAGTTTTTCATGGAGTCCGATCCAGGTTTTCCGGCCAGCCCAGTTCTCCGCGATTCAAGCAGTCCATTCTAGTGATCCGCTCCAGCACTTACTATCAATCCACCAGGCCAGCATGCAGACACTCAGGAAACAGCAGCACCAGGCTGGCACTGACACTACAAAAATAACTGAAAAGGAAAGGCTGCATTGTTTGTTAAATGTCAACAATGTCTTGTGGTGTTAATCTATTTTTTATTTATTAGGGGGCCAAAGCACAAGTGTGTGGAGTCTTGCTGCTATTTTAATTTCAATGTTAGACATTTTAAAGATTTCTTGTTGATTTATTTTCTATTTATTAAGGGGCCAAAGCAGCCAAAGCAAACCAGCTATATTTTTTATTTAATGTTAATGTTCAAGTTTAAAGTTTGTTTATTTAACAATAAACAGGTCAATTTCTCATACCAACTATTGTGGATCATTCTAACTAACCTGATTAAGTGGTTGTTCTTGTTAGAGTAATATCGCTTGATCAAACCTTTTCTAACATGACTGACAACAAAATAAGTGAATATGTATAATACGCGCTTGGATCGGATTGGTATCGGCCAAAACTCATCCCTAGATAATATCGATTCCTACCCCTACCCTTTAGTGTCTTTATGAGACACCTCAGGCTTTAAGTTCAGTATAGACTGGTCTGCGGCAATAGTTGATGCCGAGAGCAACTGATGTGGTATAAAGAGTGAAAAAGTGCCCATAGGTTTAGAGGGAGGGGAGGTGGATCTGTCAAACAAAATCATACTATTACCCAGGAGGCTGCACTTTACGCCCCATGTGAAGCCAAAAACCAGTGTTGTTTTTAATGCAAAGTGTCACAACCATGTTGTATTTATGTCACTACATTTGGTAACAAATATACATATTTTTACATGGGTAAAGCATGTTTTTTTTCTTAACCTAACCAAGTAGTTTTGTTGCCTAAACCCAACCCCCACTGTTTCACAACATTAACCACGGATTGTCTGTTTCAGCTGTGCCAAAGGGTATGACAAAGTGTTGGATATTTGACGACCTAGTAATGAGAACAGGCTGAGCAATCAGGCCTTTACTGTCCAAATTTCATGGGTCCTTGTATCACCTCTTTGCCTGTCAACATTTTGTGGCAACTAAGAAGTAGCTCCAGTGGATCTTAAATAAGTTTGAGCCCATTTTGTGTCCTCCATATAGGGAAAAGGGCATATAAAGCTGCCTAAAAAGGTTTGTTAAACCTCAGCTGGTATTAGTTCTTCATTGATCTATGACAGTTACAGATTAATTTTTGGCAGCTATTAGGAGCTTTGTATCAAAATATCACCAGAGTTGTCCTTATGAGCATGAAATCATGCTTTAAGATCCATTATTGGAAAAATAACAAAACCTGTTGTGTACCTGTACATGGACTCTGATCAGAGTATTTGTGTCATGTTATAGAAACCAATATAAGTCAGTAGTTAACAGTCTGTATCATTGAAAGACTTGTTTGGCAATGAGTTATGGTTTTAAGGTGATCAGATTTGCCAGAATAAGTGTCAGGTTGTGACCTGACAGCATGTCTTGTGTCTCCTGTGTTTCAGGTGGAAAAGGTTCTGGCTCTCCACGAGCTGAGCTCATCCACGCTGCACCACACACAGGGCTGCTCTGCGTTGGATGGTCAGGGCCTACAGCCAGGTCTGGAGAAGTTATATGAGATGATCCTGAGGAGGAAGAAGATGCTCCGACACAGCAAGAAGAAGAGATGAGGCAAAGAGTTGCAGCTGTGCTGGGGATAGAGTTTACTTTGCAACCATTCTTGTCTGTGGACCTTCTCAGCAGCCATGTCTGTGATATTTTGGAACTTTGGTAGGTGAAACCAGAGAGAAGCTTGTCAGTCCTTCAGACAAGTTGGGATGTCTAAACCAAGTTCAGACGATGGCCTCAACAGTCTGTTCCAAATATTAACACCTTCCTTCACTCATGAGACTTTTTGGCAGACGTTTGGGATTACGTCTTCCCTCTCCTCATGTCCTATCCTTAAGGGAGCACAGCAGAGAGACATAAAGCTCCAGAGGGGGCAACAGAGGAAAACCTGTGCAATATATGATTAACAATCACTGATGCACTCACTCCAACATTGAAGGATATTTTGTACCAACCACTACTTGTTACAATTGTAGTGCCAACAGAAACCTGCAGGCCTGGCCCAAGCATCGTTCCTGTTCCTTTCAAGTTTCAGTGTCACACTTAACCCCATATTTTTATGTTGCATGATGTTCACCCACATACCCTTTTGGGAATATTAAGACAACATTTTTGTTGATCAAAAGAAGACCATTGTTATTATTCTAGGTTAGAAACTGCCCAATGTTCAGTTAGGTATGTCATTGGGACTACAGTTAACATGTGCCACAAATGTGACATTTATGGACTGACACATTCAGGCTGCAGAATTCAGCTGTGCAGGTTTAGATTGTTTTTCACTCCTCACCAAAGTTGTTTGCTTGTCACAGTTGGGTGTATTTCTGGGTTTGCTGAATGGTTGGTTGGTAAGTTCAAACAAGAAATTGTTTTTATATCGTGTACATTTTGTTTTGTAAAATGTTAACCCGAATAAATTATTGAGCAACTTTGGCATTACTTGCTGGAAACTTGTCTTCATTTTGCCTACCTTATTCATTTCACATTGACTTATGGTAGCTGAGACCTCGGCTAGCCTGAGCTGCAGGTGTGTGATTCGAAGTCACGATGCACTAGGGGAGATGTGAGAGTGTAATGATGTCTGACAGGTGCACACTAATGATCTAGTCAGTGTTGTCAGGACATGCCTTTAAACAGATCGACAGCACTCCCACATTCTACACAGCTGCTGTTCTCGAAACAATCACTGCCAGGACGTCATCAGCATGCTGGTTAGTGATTCATATCTGCAGGTCATAACATAATTACAGCTGTGAGGGGGTGGGAAAAATAAGTGGAAATACATTACCTGCCTAATCTGAAAAAAATCCAGTGGCCATTAAACAATGTCTCTAAAAATCTAATGTTGAAGCTGTTGTTTTATCCCCACCACTGTTTGCATACTGGGGACAAATTGACATGAACACATCACAGTGCTTGAGATGGGACCAGGTGCAGATTCACTGCTTTGAACTGCAGTTCAGTTTATAATAATAATAATAATAATAACAATAATAATAATAATAATAATACATTTTATTTATAGTTCAGTACACAGTGGAATGGTTATTTTTCTGTTTCCAATGTGAAAAATTGTGGATGTGTGGATGGTTCCTTACCGTCCCATTTTTAGTCACCCCTCTGTTGGGGTACCTAGCACACAGATCTGGTACTAAAAGGTGGAAAAGGTAGAAACACTGCAGTCCGACGATTGGTCAGTTGAGGACCGTCACTGTCGCGTGGATGAGTTGTGGCTGTTTTTGAAGCTTATGTAACCACTGTTCTTACAGTGGCATGTTTTTCATACATTAGTCAACTAAAACCATCTCTGCTCCGAGCACACTGGTTCCTTCTTGGTTCCTTCCAAAAAAAAGAAAAAGGACAGATATCTTAGGCTATAATAAAGTTAACTCTTGATCTTTCAATGTGACAAAAAATTGAACTCAGAGTCTCATTACCAGCCTTTTCAAAAGCTGTCAAGCACTTGAACTGGTTGAATGATCTGGAAAAACCTAGCAAATGGACCTTGAATTAATATTTGTAAATGCTCAAGCCACCACCAAGCTTCAAGCTCCATGGCTGAAAAATGAAGCCAACACAGGAGTGCCAAAAACTGCTGTTCCTCTGATGGCCACTTAAAACTGCCTCTGAAGGTGAGTCAATCCCCATAGACCCCCATATTAAAATGCCCAACGCTACAGCAGAAATAAACGTGTTTACGGCTTGGTACACTAATGTTGGTTTGGTAACGTAACTAAAGATTCACAGAATAGTCTACAGGCGTAGGTATAACTGTTGCAAATTCAGTGTGTTTACAGTTCAGCAAAGTTTAAAATGTCATAGTTTCCTCAAAAGTCTTGTTCAGTGTTTGGTTGGTCTAAAAGATCCTCTAATCAGTTGGATGTTTAGTTTTTCCAACAAGTACATTTTGTACAGACTGTTTTTTAATAGTGAAAATTAGTATTAGCATTATCACAGTTAACCATCTACTGCTTCGATGTAGCAACTGTAATGTCACCCACTGGTTTGTGGTCTACTGTTTCGAGGCCCCGAGCTCAGCATTTTGGTCAGCACCATCTTGGATTTTCAGAGCAAGAAGTAACCATATTTGGATCAAAGGGTTCAGCTAACCCTAATGCTAGCTGCTAGTTTGGTTAGTTACAGGTATGGCTCCAAAAAATCCAAGATGGCGACAGACAGGCCAGCCATTAGGAAATGTGGGCAGGGGGACAACATTTTCCAAAATGGACCCCCCATCCCCACCCATCTTGGGGGTCCAATGAATGATTACAGAAAAGTAAAAACAAACACTGACTGAGGAAATCACCGCAAGGTCTTACATCATAAAATCAAATCATGATCTGAACCCTTTGTCGGATGGACCGCACCATTTCACAATACCTGTGGGGGCTGGGAGCATCAGAAATGTGTTTTAATGATAAAAATCCATACGTACATATATATTTATCATACAAATACATATAAATTATATTGCCAGTGATATAAGTCAGTAGGTAAATTGTACATGATCCAATTCAAAGCTCAACCATAGACCTTTTTGATGATATAATGTAGGCTACTGTATGAGACAGCAAAAGATTATTCAGATGTGGCCTTTAATTGTCCACCCCTCGAATTTTAACATTCCAAAGCATACATTATTAATGACAAAGTGGCTGTGAGAAGTTTGAAGCAAACAGCTGATGTTCTGTGGCAGTATTTGTTGTCTTATGTGGAATAAACAGGTTTCATGTCAGTATTTTAAGGCTAGAGTTTCGTTAGTGGGTCATCCATTATTTCTCCCACACACCTCTGTTCTAACCTTTCTCTCTTTCTGTGCCTCATCTCACTCCCCTCTCATGCTGCCATTTAATGGTATCAAGTGCTCTGGCTCATATCACTGGTCTGTTTGAGGTGGTTGTGCCCTGCAGAGTCCCTTCTGGAGGGGTTCTTCCCAGTGTAAAACAACAGTCTGCTCATATTTCATTTCCATGACATCAGGAGGGGCTCCTGTTTGTACTGATACCACAGCAGGGATGCAGATGAAGGTTCATAAATCTCTTTTTGTCTCTGTAGACACCCAATGTATTCCTTTTGACATGTTTTCTTTGATAATCTTGTGAACATTGTAACAGTGGTTATGAAACAGTGAAGGTGAAAGGAATTATTTATGTAGCATAATTCATCCACAGAAATACACCAGAAGACACCAGTAAGAAAGATCTCTAACACATCTAAAGGCAGAAATGGTTAAAAGCTGTTCTGAATGGCATGCTCGAGGGCTGACTGAAAAGCATAGCATTGTAGTGAGATGAATTGTACAAATGAGTGTAATGATTCACACTTTCTAGCAGTCTCACCTTAAAAGATGTGTGATGTTGCATTTAGTTGTATGGATACAAAAAGATTACAATGGAAGGTGCTCAAACTGGCTTTATACCAAACAGAAGTCTTAAACCAATATTAAAATCTGTGTATCATTAAGACAACATGCTAAGAAGCAAAAATTTGATTTGACACTGCAGTTGATGCAGATAAAGCTTTTGACTAACTGGAATGGGCCTATCTTTATTATTATTATTAATTATAATTATTAGAAATATATGAATTTCCCGAAGAAACAATTTCCATGATCAAAACAGCAGTGCAGGTTTATGTTAATAGAGCTATATCTTAGATATTGAGATTAAAAAGAGGCACTTGACAAGGATGCCCGCTATTTCCCTCTTTATTAGCTTTAGCAATCGAACCTTTGGTCTAGAAAATAAGACAAACAGAAGAAGTGAGTGGCATAATCATAGATAAAGAAAAATATAAATTGAGTTTATTTGCTGATGATTTGATGTTATATTTAACTAAGATTAAAACATCTCTTCCAAAGGTAATGGAGATTAAAGAGGATTTTCCTAAAGTATCAGGTTATAAAATGAATAACGAAAAAAAAAAATGAATTAATGCGAATTGATTTTAGGAATTTTAAATAAAAAAAAAAGAAAGATAAAATACCCAGGCTGTACTGTAAGCTTTGAAAAAACACAATGATATGAGGATCATTTTCTCTATTTACTTAATGAATTAAAAAAAATAGCATAGACAGTTAGACTTGCCCATAAACTTAATTGGAAGGATAAATCTGTTTGAAATTATATGATTGCCTAAATTTCTTTTTATATTCCAAACTATACCATTAATCCCCCCTAAAACATTCTAACAGTCCAACTCAACACCTTACTCACTTCTTTTGTCTGGTCTAATAAAGCACATGGATTGAGTAGAATTCTTCTTCAAAATCCAAGAACCGAAGAAGGTCTTAAATGACCAAATTTAGAACTGTATTATTATGCCTCACAGATGTTCTACATAGATTGCGTAAGGGATAATGTATAATGAGCCGGTGAATACTGGGAAAATAACTCGCGACAGGGGAATAGAACCCCGACACGCAGCGGAGGTTAAATAAGTAAAATAAGTAAAATAAAAATTAAATAAGTTAAATAAATAATGTTGTCTGCCTCCGCAAAGTGCATTAAAACCGACCGGATTCGACAACTTTTGGTGAAAGTTTTGTACTCACCCAGGCTTAGTGGACTGAACCGAGGAATAAAACTCGTGTAAAATGTCATAAAGCATGACTGCCGAGTGTGTATTCAAATCCATGTTCTTTTGTTTTTGGCAGAGAAAGTCCGTATTCTTATTCTTCAGCGGCATCCCATTCCTCAAAATCCTTGTAGCTACTCTCCAAATAAGTTAAAAGAAATGTTAAAATCAGCCGCTTCTGTTTGTTTTTTCCCTCGGAAGTTGTTTGACAGCTGCAGTGTTGCAGGACAGCGTCCCTACCAACGCTGGGCTACATAGTAACTGTGTAATGACCGTTGCTACTAGCAATGTCAGACTGCTGAATGCCGCAACTGACCAATCAGAATGCAGCATTTAATAACACAGCTGAAGAACCCTGGATAAATATTGAAAGCAAACAACTGAAACCTAAAAACCTTTTTACAAAAGCAATATAAAAATATAAAATTTTGTCATAAATAGCATTAAAAGCATACAATAAAATAAAAAGATACATTAGGAGTGCAACTCAATATCTCTAAGACCACAAAGCTTTGGAATAATCTGTCAGTGAAATAAAAGAAAAAGAAAGAAAGATGCTGAAACCCTGTCTCTTGTCTAACACACCTCTGCACACCTGGATTATTGCTAAAAAAGTGATGAAAAGTGATGCAGACGTTGCTGTCTTTCTGTTGCACAGGTAATTAGCTGTTTGCTTTGGGGGGATTTGTTATTTTACTGGCTCTCCTCTGCAGGATGCGCGTTCAGGCATGTCTGGGCTCGTGGCTTTGGACGGAGCACTGACGGGAGGGGGAGCAGGGGGTGAAGCTTAGAGGAGGTTGCTAGCTCTCTAACGGGAACTGCCCATTGGTTTGACATCCCATTGTTCCGACCATATTAAACTCATTGT